CTCCTCCGCCCCATGCGCACGCCCACACACACACATATATATATGCACCCTCTTCCCACCGCACTTCGAGCTGCTTTGTTCCCTGCTGGTGGCTAACCTTCGCGCCATCCTTTGCCATGTGCCCTCTGGCCACAGAGAAGGAGATTCGTGACAAGGGCGTCGCTGATCTGCATACCTTCCTCGGGAAAATGGAGCCCACCACCACGGATCTCCAGCTTCTCAAGCTGTGGAAGGCCCTTTACTATTGTGCGCCTTATGTTCGCCTTTTCCCACTTGCTGCCCCTGTGCCACACCATTAGCCCTGTTGCCCTGCCGGTCCTTGTATTCCTCTGACCCCCGTCCCCCTCCCCCCTCCCCACCCGACACACACATGCGCACGTGCACACGTGCACACAGCTATGTGGATGGCCGACATGCCGCCGGTGCAGCACCTCCTGGGCGATAGCATCGCCGACCTGGTCCCCGTCGTGCCGGCTCCTCTGCGGGAGCGCTTCATCGTGGCCTTCTGGCAGACCATCGCCCGGGAGTGGCACACCCTCGACAAGTACCGGCTGGATAAGTTCCTGGCGCTCATTCGTAAGATGGTGCGCGCGTCGCTCAAGTCCCTGCACGGGGCTGGCTGGCCGGAGGCTGAGGTTGTCGCCCATGGCACCACCCTGCAGAATGTGGTCCTGCTCAATGGGCGCATGCCGAACAGCGTGCGCTTCCACCTGCTGGACGTGTGGGCCGACGAGCTCGAGGTGGTCCTCGCCGGGGAGCAGGTACGTCGGGCCCTTTTTTTTTTTGCTGCCGCGCCCCTCTCGGCCTCTCGCTTTTCCTTCTTTTGCTTCTCCCTTCCTCTCGGCCTTGGCCAGGTGTGCCTTGCTCTCTGCCGCAAGGATGTGCGCCATCCGCTGACACATCATCCGGGGCCCCCGGCGCAGCTCGACACCCAAGACATCCTGCGTCTGATGGACCCCTTCCTGAAGGCCATCTGCCGGGTGGATGACAGTGGCGTGTTCACGCACCTGCGCATGCAGGTGTTCCTGCGGCTCTTCGAGCAGGCCCGCGCGAGCCGCGAGTTCCTGGCGGCCGACGAGCAGATCGACACCACCGGCGCCGAGTCGACCCTGCGCGGGCAGACCGGCGGCGCGGATCGTCGCGTGACCACCGAGGCCGGTCTCCGGGCCCTGCTGGATGCTCTGTTCATGGAGGCCGCGGCGGAAACCTCGCGCGTGTCCAACCGCCGGCATGTGTACGATCTGTATGAGCTGCTGAAGCCGCTGTGCGAGCGCCTGGCCGAGGGCGAGCGCCTGCCGACGCCGCAGCTGCTGGGCAGCCGGCTGCCGTTGCCGCAGCGCCCGGCCAGCAAGCGCCGCAAGCAGCGCTCCGCCTCCTTCCGCATCGGGGCCCTGGAGCGGGTGAGCCTGCGGCCGGTGCCGCGCCGGCGCCCGGCCACCCCGGCCGAGCAGGCGGCTCTCAGTGATTTGCTGACCGGGACCTTGAGCCAGACCCTGGGGGTGGATCTGTCGACCCTGTCCGACCGCGAGCAGAAGCGCCTGCTTCGCCTGGCCGAGCATGCGGCCGGCGAGGCGGAGGAGGCTGCCACCGAGTCGCCGGCCAAGCGCGCCCGCGTCTCCGAGGACGGGGGGTCCCCGGCGGCCGGCGCTGCCGACACCACCGCCACCAGCAGCCCCGCTGCCCCGGAGAAGAAGTCGGCCAAGGCCAAGGCCAAGACCCCGGTGGCCGCGCCGGCTCCGCAGGAGGAGCCGGCCTCCCCCGGGCCGCGGTCCATTCTGTCTAGCCGCCGGAAGGCCCTCCCGGGCCCGAGCAACCCGCCCACCGGGCAGAAGATCCGCATCAACACCTCGCGCAATGTGGTGCTGCCCTTCAACAACCGCCAGCCGCCGACCACCGTCGGTGAGGATGCCGAGGCCATGGGCCTGAAGCCGGCCTCGCCGTCGCCGGCCGCCCCGCGCGGCCTGCGGCCGCTAGAGACCACCACCGCCACCGAGCCGGAGGCCACGGCCAAGCGCACGGTCTTCCTCGGCGCGCGTGGCACCATCTCCAAGGGGGGTGCCCTGCCGGTGGCTGCCCCGCAGCCGGCCAGCCGGGCCCAGCGCAAGGCCGCTCGCCACCGCCTGGCCAAGTAGATATGAGGCGCGCATGCGGCGCGGGTCGGGTGCCACATGGTGCTCTCCCTTGGCATTCGCGCGCACACGCGCGCATGGTCCGTCCCGCGCGCATCCACGGGGATGAGGAGGGCCGCGGGTCCCCCGGGGGCGGCCGGCGAAGAGGGAGCGAGGAGGCATGGCGGTGGGCGAGAGTGCCCAGGCCCCATATATGTGCTGCCGCTGCCCCTGCCGTCTGCTGGACTCCCTCGACTGTCCCTCTGTGCTGCCCCGGCCCCGGCCTCTTGCATTTTCCTCCCATCCCCCCCCCCCTCTCCCGCCGTCTCTCTGAGGTTGCTCGGTCTTGCCCCTCCCGCCATCAGGTTGACCATACCCAAGCCCACATACACATACACACACACATCCCCACTCCTGGCGGAAGGGGAAAGGCGCAGAGGGAGACCACCAGGGCCCCCTGGGAGAGCAGGGGGAAGCCCAATACAGATTGCATAGACGAGTGGGCCGGACTGACAAGCGTGAGCAGCGGCGGGGGATCCACACGGGGAGGGGGGCAGGCGGCGGGCTGGTGGCCCGGATCGGTGGGGGGGGGGGGGATCGCGAACGTGGCCGCGGGTGGGGGCGTCCCTTCCTTTTTTTGTCCTGGCGGAACGCCGCCCAACCGGGCCCGGATCGGGGGGGGGATGGTGTCCTACGCTCCGCTTGACCGGGGCCGTGTCCGGGCTTGCCGCGCCCTCCCGTCTCGTGCTGGAACGCGGGGCCGGGAGCTGGAGGAAAGGGCCGCGCGCATTCTGGAGTGGCAGATGCCAGAGGCGTGGGTAACGGGCATGCGGCCTCTCGCCACCGATGGGTGCGTGTGAGTGCGTGTGGATGCGTCCTCCGGCCGATACCGCCCCGCGGGGGAGGTTGCGGGGTCCCGCGGGGCGGCCGATGCCCCGGGGCGACAGAGGGGCGAAGCCGGCGGCGGGGGGCGGCGAGGGGCGGCGGCGGCGGCGGCGGCGGCGGCGGCGGCGGCGGCGGCGGCGGGGGGGGGGGGGCACACGCGTGGACGGAACATCCCCCGTCCCCGACCTGCCAGCGAACGAGCTGACGCTCGAGAGTAGGCAGCCCCCTTTTTTGTTTGCGGGCGCCTCGCGCCGGCCCGGGGGCGGGGGGGGGCCGATAGACAGAGGGCCAGCGGTCGCGGGCGTTCTCCGACCGGCCCGCCCCCGGCTTCGGCTCCCGGGAAATAGATATTCGCAGACACGGGCACGCCCCGGAGCTCTCGCTGGACAGTGAGGAGGCCGCATGGGGGTGGGGGGACGCGCGCCGACGCTCGAAACGGTGCGTGGCCCCCCGCCGATGCGCGGCGCGCCAGTCAACACCTGTCCCGGGGGAGGCCATTGGCGCGCGGGGGGCGTGCGTGAGGATGCGCGGGGGGGGGGGGGGATGGTCGGGCGCATGCGCGTCCACACCCCGCCCGGCCATGCCCTCTCGGCGCAGGCACTTTCGCTCGCTCCATGGAGATGGGGGAGAGCTGTTAACGGCCCCCGCCCATCGGGGCGAGGACGGGGCGAGAGAGAGAGAGAGAGAGAGAGACCCCCCACAAGCGGGCAAGGGCGAATACGCCCGGCGGCGAGCGGACGAGGCCACACACCCGTCCGAAGTCGCCGCTTGGGCATTGCGTGGCTTGGCCGCCGCCCCCGCGTGCCGCAGAAAATCGCCGCGGCCACCGGGGGCGGGAGGGAGGGAAGGGGGCGGGACACAACCTGCCCTCGGGGGCCACAGGCCTCAGAGGAGGGCCACCTGGCCAACAGACGAGGAGGGCGGGGGGGACGGCGGCAGGCAGGCAGGGGGCATTCCCATCCCCATCCGGGCCGGGAATTCCTGTGCCTGGTCCTCTGGAAGTGTGCGGTGTGCGCGCGATGTGTCGGTGCGTTCCTCGCACGGCCGGCCCCCGCGGGCCCGGCGCTCCCACAGACATGTGCCTTTGCCGCTCGGGGGGAGAGCGTGCGCGCGCGGCATATCGCCGCCCCGCGCCCCGGAGAACAAATGCCCGGTCGAGCACAACACCCCCCCCCCCTCCCCCCGAAAGATGGCTTTGGCCTGGCCGTCTGGCCCCGTGTCGCCGTCGGGCCGGCGGGCAGGCGGGTCGGCCCGACCTGGGCCTCGCTCGGACACCGGTGGACCGGGCCCGGCGCCCGCGCGCGAGGGCGCCCGGCGCGCACTCCCGGGCATGTGTGCCCTCCACCTCCCCCCTGGCGGCCCGGAGCCGGGGGCGCCGTCCCCACTCCGCTCGGACTATCGGACGGGGAGAGGGTGGGGGGGGGGGGGGTTGCGCCGGCGCGGTCAGAGTCTCACAGCCCTTTCGAGCGTCCGCATTTGGACCCGAGCCAGACCTACCGGCTGGCCTGGCACACGTCTCTCTCTCTCTCTCTCTCTCTCTCTCTCGCGCGCGCGCGCGAACGCGCGCGCACGCAGGACAGCCAGAACGAAACAAGGGGAAGAGGAGGCAAAGGGGCTGGGCATGGGGGATCTGATGTCACTGATATTCAGGGCGCGCGCGTGTGCGAAGCACGCACATACTCGGCCATTTCACTGGCCCCGAAGCGCGCCCTCCCGCCCCGGGCCTGACGCTGCCTGTCTGTTCTTCGGGGGCCCGGGAGGGCGGGGGGAGGCCCGCCCGAGCTGCCAATCCGGCCGGCATTTACGCGTGCCGTCTGGCCCCCCCCCCCCCCCCCCGCCAGTGCCCGGCGGACGGAGAACGCCCGGACGGGCCCGGGAAAACCGAGGGTCCGAGGGGCCGCCCATCGGGGGCCCAGCGGTGTGTGCCTCGCGAAAGGAGGCCCCTCATGCGGGCCCCACCACCAGGTGGACCGCTAATCCCCCCCCCCCCTCCAGGAATATACAAAAAAGGCGCTCCCCAGATCGCAGCGCCCGGGCTGGGCGCGATCGGGCCCGGCCGGCCCGCCGAGGATGGGTGTGCGCGCGTACGTGCGTGTGTGGGCGGGTGGGTGTGTGCTGGGCGCCCGCGGGGTGCTGGGCTTCGCGGGGGGAGGAACCCTCCCCCCCCCCCCCCCGGCTCGCGCGATCGCGGATGTGTGACTCCACAGGGCGAGTTGTTCCGGCCGCCGGTGACACCGAGAGCCCTCCGGCCGCGCGGCGTCGAGCGGTGGGAACGCGGACAGCCGGCGCCCGGTCAGAGGGGGCCTCTAGGCAGGAGGGCGTCGCCGGCGCCCGGGTCCGCGCGCGCGCGCGCCGGACGGTGGTGCGGGGCAGTGGTGCGGGGCAGAGAGGGGGGCCAGCACAAGCGGCAGCCCCCCCCTCCCCGGGCAAAGATAAAAACCAGCATGCTCGGGATACACCTATTCCCGGACTCGGTCGGCCGGCGGGCAGGGGGGGGGGGGGGGCATCGCGATGGATGCCAGTCCCCCATCCGCCGGCCCCGGTGGCCCGAGAGAGCCACCACAACACCCCGGCCAGCCCCATACATGCATCGGCCGCGCATCCCCGGCCAGTCGGGGGGCGACCGCCGGTCGCGAAACAGCCTCACCTCGGTGGACCGAGGGGGGGGGGGGCGGGGGAGATGCATGGACACGCGCGCGCGTGCGGCCGGCGGCCCGAGGCTGCCGAGGCCCCGGCCACCGGGCCCCACCGGGCGGGGCATTATCCCGG